AGACTTCTAGATCAAATCTGTCCCTATCATTTTAGTCACGAAGAACAAACAGTTGTTTCAAGCACCGTCAGCAGTTAACAGAATGGCCATTATTTATTTGCTGTGCAGCCACAGAATTCATCTCAACACGGACTCACCTGGAATCTGTCTTTATTTGGCCTGCCAAGCTCACCTCTCCATGTTTCCTTGGCCGTTTGGCTGGTAATGATACTCACAGCAGCATTTATCCAGCAGCCAGAAGAAGGGGTGGAGACGCGAAGCTAAGCAGGCGGCCACAGCAGCAGTGCTGTCATTCCTCACCATCTCCCTTTTACTTCTTTAAAAAAAATATGTCAGCATCACCGTCGTGATTAGCAGTCAGAATGTGCTGCGTCTTTGTCCTTGATTTAATGCCAAATCTCCTAAGTAATAATGACTGCACAGGCTCTGTATCTGACGAAAAAAGCAAAGGAAAGGAAGAGTGGGCCCTCATCCCTCACTGTTATAGTGGCACTAGTTCCCAGCAGGAGCCTTATGAAGCCGCAGTTTGGTTTTGACATTTCATGAATGTTGTTTCTGAAACATGCCAATCTCCTTGATTTAATATGGCGTGCTGTTGTTCGTGAAGCCCAGGAGCTTATATAAAGCCTATGCGTGTGAGTAGACTGGTGGTATGTGTGTACATTCATTATTGATTTTGCTGTGTTGAAATCCATGTTTGCCTATTTGAAATAAACACGTGTGAGCAGACAACTTACAGATATATTTTCCACATTATTGACACACAGAGGCCAGAGAGCAATCCTATCATAAGCGGAGCTTGTCTCAAAATGGCGCCTTTGCACTGATGTAGATTGGGAAGGTGAAGACGCTAAATTAGGTTTTTGCCGTTGCCTCTCACATTTTAATGAGTTCAACTGAGGTAACCGTCCGGGTACATAGGTTTCTGTCTTCTGGTTCCTGTCTTGTTGCCTGTCTCTTATTGTTTCTATAATGGCATATTCAGCCTTAGTTATAATGTAACAGCACCAGAAGCATTTGTAATCAGTGATTACACACTCTCAGGTCAGGACGGCTCACTTCATTTGAAGTTCGATGTTCCAGAGGACTAATGCAGCTTTGTGAATGCCTTTGTTGCAGACTAGCTACTATAATAACAGAGTGGGGAGAGTCAGAAGCTCCATCTACTCAGAACTCTTATTGGTTCCTTTTTTATCAGAGTCCATTCAGCCTCTCTCTAAGGGATGTCGGGCGTAGGAGTACATTTGGCTCTGTGCTCAGACTTTTATTGCAATGCAGAGATCTCTCCGCTGTAGGAGAACAAAGGGTCTTCTACAGTAAGTGTACCCGACTGGGCTCGGACCAAAATAAAGAGGAATATAGTCTATGTATTTTTCTTCTAAATTTGGGATATGTATGGGGACAACTTGCGTGTTGTACCGTTGGGGTGCTTTTGAATATTGATGAATAGGGATTGGACCGACAGAATTTAACATGTCCTATTAATCAGGGACCGGAGAATTGGGGAGGAGAGTGTTTAACGGCATGTACTTGGTGGAGTGCCGTCTTGCATTAAGGGCTAATAACCTCCTTTAGACTCAGCACAGCACCCCCTCTCCTCCTCTACCTCACCTCCCCCCGCCTCCATCACCCCAGTTGTATTTATTATGGGCTGCAAGGCCACGGTGATGAGACGATCAATATTTCTGGGATGATGAGGGAGAACTCATGCAATCTCTCTCTCCCTCTCTGTTCCTCCCTTGGCAGTGCTTCAGCAGGTAGAGAGATCAAAGCCGAGAGGACCTCTGAGATGCTGTTGGAGGGTAGACTGATGAAGTCCTCTGTGCCGTGTGTCCTCTAAACACACACACTCCATCACACTGTCCTATGTCCTTGCTATGTCCTGATTAAAAAGTTTGACCGGATGTATTTTATCCCGACTAGAATTAGTGTTATCACACTTATTCTGCTGCTGTGTGTGCAGATCTAAACAGAAATGGCTTCAGTTAAGTTTTAAATTGAAAATCTTGTATCAATGCATCTGTGTCTACGGGGAAAGTTGCCTTTTTGAAAACCTCCTTTGGGCTGACATCTTTCTCCATTCAGGGGATCAATATGTGGAACTCTTTACCCACCGGACACATAATGGATCATAAATGTGATCAATTTAAACTTGAGTTGTTCCAGTTTTTGGAAAGGGATCAGAAATGTAGTAATGGGTCATCAGGTGCCTTTTTTAGTTTTTATGGTACTTTAAAACTCAGTTGCCAGTTTAATAGGTACACCTAGTTAAAACTAATGCACTCCAGTAGAACAGCTCTGTAATAAATCATATGTTCATGAAAGTTATAGAGTTGTCAACATGTTTTTCCTTGTTCCATATTCCCATTTTAATTTTTTGTTTAGTGTTACTGAACGTAGAAACGCAGGACTCAGGAGGAGGACACAGGACCACCACCAGTTTTAATTCCTTCGACTTTGAAAGGAGAAATCCTGATTTCATGTCAGTTTGGCATGATGAAGGGGTCTAAATACTACAACACCAAGAGCCTTGGCTGCAGTGGTCATAGAGAAGAGGCAATTCGGAGGCACAAATCAAAGCAATAGTGAATTTGAAATGTTTTGTCGCTTCAGTTGAGAACAAAACGTGGCACCAGAGTTGCTGAATTGAACTACAATTGATAATAATGCAGGAATTGGATATAATATTAAGTACATGTACATTAGTGTATAATGACCTGAAAATAAGACTTGTATGTTAAACCACCATGTTTCTACAGTAGTCCAGAATAGGAGCTCCAATTGGGAGCCATGGAACACTGTCTACGGGAAAAATTAACAAAACTTTTACTGCCAGAATGAGGGATACTTTAAATAGCTCCTCCCATTTCACAACGCCATAACATTCAGATTTTGGTTGAAACTGTATAATGATACAACCTGATCATTTTGTGAGCTATATTTTATGTTTCTGCTGAATTGTATTGCATTACACTGAAAGGTGCTTCAAATATTTAGTCACTGATATACTGAAAATAGGCTGGAACCAGTGAACCATAGTGAGCAGGTCAGGGACTGTGTCAGTGTGACTTTTCTAGCATTTTAAAGCCTTTGCCCACCCTTGGCCCCCCAGCAATGCATGCCTTTTAGTCCCCAGATTGGATATGGATGGCTATTCATGTATTATCACTTAGCAGGTGCTCGGTGTGCTGGCGTATCTTAGCAGAATTGTCCATCATACACATTTCATTTACCCAAGTATGAGTGAAGGTGGACTCATCTGCAGTATGTACAAAATGTTCTGTATGTACGTGTTTTTGATATGCAGTGAGGGTTTACATGTGCATCTTGGACTGGCACACTTTACGCTGATCCACAGCTACAGAAAATGGGAATAGCTGCCTAGCGATAACAGCACCTCCAGGAATGTCAGGATTGCTTTCTCTCAGTGGTTAGTGGCCCTCCAACGGCTGCTGATACATTATAAATCATTTACACAGTCATTTTGGAATGCAATATCCTCCTCTAAATGCTGGCTTTTCTTCTCCATTGTTATTAGAGCGAACACTGCAGTAGGCACACAAGGCTGAGGGGGACCCTAAGCCACAGAAATTGAAAATTGATCAGGCAGTGTGGGAAGGTGTTGTCACCGGTACCAGTGGTTTACCCTGGGACTGTAGATTAGCATTTACAGCGCTGTCACTGGAGGCCCCCATGCTGCCTGTAGCTACAGTACATCCTCCTCTGGCTCTTTTTCTGTTCATCCCAAAAAATGATTTCTTGTAAGAGCAAACAAGGGAGATGAAATTTAAATTGTACCTTGTTCATATCTATACCAAAGGGAGATCTGGGGAAAATGCTGCATGACATTAAACATGTTTTATCATGTTATTATCTTCTTGTGTATGACTGTTGCTATTGGGTTTTAACAATTGTAAATATGGCTATTCCTTAAAGAATAGGTTCACCATTTCTCAAGTCTGTCTTCATATAGTAGTCAGGTGTCCATATGTGCATTACAGGTTTTACTTTCTGTAATAATCCCTCCTGTTCATAGAGGGAACTAAAAAGTATGAATGTAAAGATACATCATGAGAGAGTTAAATCGCAAAACAAAGATTGTAATTGGTGAAATTAAAAATGAATCGTGGTATCAGTTGTGGTATAAAGGTGCAAAGACATAAGTTGCACTTCACAAAAGGAAACATTTGTAAATTGTATACGTATATAATATATATACGTCAGAAATGTATATATACGTTAAAAAAATATTTTATAATTTGATAAGAAAATAAGGTTCTTTTTCAGTTTTTGACTGAAAAAAAGATCTTTTTCAGTCATGAATTTCAATTCAATCTCTTTTTTAAAATAAAACATTGTGAGAAAATCATATCGTGAACCAAATATCGTCAATTTTATTAAATCGTGAGATGTAATTATATCATTACATCCCTACTAAAAAGACAGTGACTTTAGAAGAGTCCCACTTGATTTATCTACATCAGAGTGCAGAAAGCTTATATTAGCTTCATATAAACTTTTGAATGAATTTTTTCACAGAACGAAGGCTGTGGATTTTGTGCCCAATCACTTACATTTGAAGCATATAAGGAAGGGATTGCCAGTATGAACAGGAGGAATGATTACAGCATACAGAAACTGTTTTAATGTAAATATGAGCACCTCACTATAACTATTACTGTAAATGTTGGCCTTTGAAGTAGAGAATAATTACATACCAACAGTTGATGCCTTTCACACTTCACTTGTCCTATTAGCATTATTAGGTATATCTTGACAAGTTGCCTAACACTTAATTGCAATATTCAAGTCATAGGCAGGTTCTTGATTATGTGGATTGATGATGGCACTAAGAGCTCTGTCATGTTTATGTGAGCTGTTTTATGTCATGACAGAAAAGGGCTCCACAAGTCAATAAAAATGACTGACTAAAAATGGGAGCAAACTGGTGGGTTGTCAGGGAAATGTCATTAATTTTCCTGTCTTTTTCTCTCTCTCAGCACGGGATAGAAGATCAGACGAGCGGAGAGAGGACAGTGAATAAGGACCTCACTGCTGAGAGAGCGGGAAAACTGCGTAACTGTGACTGTTTCTCCTCGTCTGTAAGCCGGCAGGCTTCAGTATCACAGCTGATGACTGTCCCTCAGGTGGTTGGACTGCAGGGCTGAGCAGGAAGCCTGTGTGTTTGCTGTGGGGGTGCCCCGGCTTGTATGTTGGTCACTTGCAGTTGCACTCGCTCACAAGGACCATGTGGTTTTCTCCAAGGAGAAGTCGTCTCCCCTCGCAGAACTGGCATGGTGCCTACAGTTGCACCAATTTCAGCGTGTCCTTGTGGGTATTAAGTTTTTGTTGGTGCTTTGCGGCCGTGAGAGGTCAGAACTACCACCCTACTGTGAATACACAGTATGGGAAACTCCGAGGGGTGAGGGTGCCCCTGCCTAGTGAGATTCTGGGGCCAGTGGACCAGTATCTTGGGGTTCCGTACGCTGCCTCCCCGGTGGGAGAAAAACGCTTCATGCCGCCGGAGCCTCCTTCGTCTTGGTCAGGGATCAAGAATGCCACTCACTTTGCTCCTGTCTGCCCCCAAAATATACACAACGCTGTGCCAGAGATCATGATGCCAATATGGTTCACCTTCAACCTGGATATAGTTACTACATACATACAGGATCAACACGAGGATTGTCTTTATCTAAACATCTATGTTCCAACTGAGGATGGTGAGTGTGTCGAGTAAACAGGGTAAAACCAAACCTCTCCTCCTCTGTTCTGTCCCTACCTTCCTTCTTGCTCTGTCTTTTCCTCTAAAATTTTGTGTCACCTCTGTATTTTGCGCGGAGCATGACCTGTTGTCTGGCGCATGCTGTGTCCGTGTCCATCATCTCAACCTCCCATTTTGACTTGATCTTTCATTTAGTCTTTTCATCAACTCTCCCCTTCCATGCCACTGTTAGAGGTTCCTCTTTTGATGACTAAATGACTTATTAATATGACTGAATAAAAAAAGAAAAAAGAAATCTAATCATACAAGGAGCAGATTGGAAATACTTGGTGCACCTTCCTACCCTCACTGTCTTGACTGTTCTGGGAATATAAACTATTAGTGATTAGTAGCCTGCCTCATAAGTGAATGATCTACTACTGTAGGGTTGGTGAAATATTCTGTCTGGTACACGAGAGGCCTGTGGCATCAGCCTGACCTATGTAAGACCCTTTACTCTCCTTGCTTCATCCAGTTTGTCCTTGCACAAAGCTTAAAGCTAGAGCACATTTTGTGCAAAAGGCAAACATAGATTGGGCTTCACCAAGTTTTAGATTTCTGGATGTTGACTCTTTTAAATGGCCGCCATTATTTTACCACTTGAAGGAGACCCACACAGGAAAATGGGCTTGAAATGTTAAGTGCTCTGAGAATCAAATGGGCAATGTCAAAAAACACTCTCACTTATCAGATTACAATGTGAATTGCAAAACTTTGGAAATTTAGCCACTCTGCCTTCTGTGTGGTTGTAATGGGTCTTAAATAGAAGTGCATGTGAATATGGGCTTCCTGTGTCCCATGATGCAGCAAATTCATTCCACCATTTTGGAATATTTCTGCAGCAACACCCCAGTTACTTTCTCAACAGGTCCTCTGTTGTTCTTGTTGTTGATGATGACTGGGAGGGTGGGAGGCGAAGGGAAAGAGGGTGAAGAAGGGTGTCTGACTCAGTATGAGTTGTTGCATGTCACATGCGATCTTTTCCAGATCTCGCTGTTATTTTGTAGTTTTTCCATTCATTTTACAGTCAAAAGAATATCCAAGGAATGTGCCAGGAAACCCAACAAGAAAATGTGTAGAAAAGGAGGTATGTAAAAAAAAAAAAAAAAAAAGCCAACATGGAACGAAAGAGAGGAATTGAAAGAGTGAAAGAGAGAGGAGAGTGATGGGTGCATCCTTCCAAAGCTGCCAAAATCACCACCTAACAACTCCCAAATCAAAGTGCTAATTGGGATGAACGTGGGACTTGTGACTCAGATCAACCTTGACATGAGTGTGAGAGATGAGTGAGTGGTTGTGCTGTGTTGTGTGTGGGTGTGTGTGTGTGTGTGTGCGCTCTCGCTTTACTATGTAATAATAAGTGTCAAGGAGTAAAAATGCAGGTCCTTAAATAAATAATGATGCTTTGCCAAGCTATAGATCATGATGTCTAAGAATAACTTGTATTTATGTATGTATATATATATATATTTCTTTTTTACATGACTGTATGGCTTGTTCGTGTTTAAAGTGTAATATTCTTTCATTTAAATACAACTGTTGATTAAATCAGAGGCATGAGTGCTACTTTGAAATACTATAAGATAAAATGTGACTTGGTATGCAAAGAACTTTAGTCATGTTTCAGGCTGCTCTGACAGCACTTAAGACACCAGCTTATTGGAAGTATTTGTCAAACGCGACACCTGAAAGCGTCAGAGCCTCAGTCGTTGATTAAATTTACACTAAAAAGTGGAGGCCCACCTTGCTCTTAAATTTATTATTCCCAATTGTTCAAATAGCGGGTGGTGGGGTATTTTATTGGTGCAACAGCTTTCATCTATCCATATGGCAAATGCTTAAACACACAGCCACTGGGAAACACAGTCCAATTTCATTAACAACAGTTAAAATCTCACTGTTGGTAACAACAGAGGGCTAATTTTCTAAGCCTGCCTGAAGACACTAAGACCTTACGAGTAGCCTAAAGACTGAGCATATCTTGCTACACAGTAAAGATTCAGTTTCAGCTGGGAGACCTCTGCTGTTGATTTCCATAGAGGCAGCAGGCAGCTATTGGCCTGACTCTGCGCACTCGTACATTCTGGTTTGGTAAACCAATTTTGTTAGAGACAGACTGGCCCTCCAGGCACTTCTGCCTCTGAATTAGTCCCAGTTGTGGAATATACACAGAAATATCTCTTTAATATTCCCCTTCCACTTGGAATTTTTCAATTATCTTCCCCATGTTTGGTAATGAGAAAATGGTTTATCATAAGTTTCATATGTTGGTTTTGTGACACATTATTGTGCAGAAAGATGATTGTTGCATAGTTCCTCTGTTATTCCTCTGCTATAAACACAAAGGTCCTAATTTTCAGTCTTGCTGGAAACTCTCTCTTTATGTCAATTGCACTTTTTTAAAATATGCTTCTACTAATCTTGGCTTATGTTGAATTAGCAGTGTAAATGAAGCATAATTTATCCTTCTTAGGCAATGTAGAAAGCAACCTATGAAGCATACTTTGGTTTTGGTTAAATGTTTCCAAAGTTAGTCTGAGAAATTCAGAGTGAATTTGAAAATAGTTAATTAGTTCCCTCATTAAAGAATTCAATTAGTGTTATTTCAATAGTTAGATCTGTTCCATAAAATGGTTAATAATAATAGGGTTTTAAGTTTTCTTTTTAAATGTTTGCAAAGCTTTCAATAGAGACCTGTACAATACAGTAGAGTCATACACACTGTGCACATTCAGTACTAACACCTCCACTACCAATTTTACAATCTGTATCTCCGTGAATGTGGTTCCTCTGGAGGAAACAGTGATTAATACTCAGAAAAAAGAATGGTATTTGACTCTTGATGAAATGGTTGTGTGATTGTTGCCAAGCAACAGTATGCAGTTGTGACAGAAGCAGAGTAAATGGCCCTTTTACCTAGCGTGAAGCACCTTTGTTGCAATGGGGATGCCTATTAAGAGAGAAAAATACATTGCCCATGAACCAAGTTAAATACATCACACGTGATCTTAGTTATATTCTTCTGTTTTATGAGACAAGAGGTTAGTATATGATGATTTGAACAGTGTGGAGCTTGTGTAAATACAATTTTCAGTATTAGTTTTGAAGAGTGGTGGTAAGAATAGAGAATTACCAGAGATTGAGAATTGCTAAGAAGGTCTACCGTATGGATCTTTTACTATTAGCATCCCACTAATCATAGTGTAAGAAGTGATTCGCTCATATCAAAGATGTGGCTCATCTTCCTCCATTAAACAGAAGGAAAGCCCTTAAACCACACAGTAGTGCCCTGACAAAAGATCAAAGACAGACTCATTCAGAAAATAATGGAAGGCTCAAGACAAAAATTGCGGTTGATTACATCTTTTGTTGTTGTACGGCTAATTTTTACAAAATCAACACAGCGTCGCTCTTTGTTCAGAAACAATTTGATGTTTACTTTGACTAAAATGTAATTTATAAAATGGCTGTCCTATCTTTTGCTCGACTAGTGCAGCAACACAAATCCAAGCAGGTAGTCATGGGGTCATGTGGAGGTGGTCAAATGTGCAAGATCAGCACCGTAGCCTACTGCTCACTCTGAAGTGGCTTTATAGCGCGTGCACACAGGGCACAGAGCAGTGACAGAGGCGCAGACTTTGGAGCCTCGGTTATATCACTCAGTCATTTTCTCTGCTCTGAGTCAGAGTGAATGGAGTGAGGAGAGGGGTAATGATGTGCGGGGACACAGCTAAGCAGTATTCAGCCTCAGAGAGCTAGATTGGCTCAAGATGGGTCAATTTTGCAAGGACAAGACCTGATGAGGTCAATCTTTATCTTTAAAAGAGGTTTACATTGTTAAATTGATTGACAAACTTTAAAAGAGATCTGTAAAATCACATCCTTTTGATGAGATTCTCATTGAGGCAGAGTTCTGGTGATAAGGTGCACTCACTGTGCTGCCTGCTGCCTGTTTATACAATATGCACATTATTTTCTACATGGTTTTACAGCATGTCTCTTTCACTGCTTGTAACCCGCTTGTAAAACCTGTCCTTAGAGTCCTTCACACTGGTCTCTCTGAATAACATCACTTCTGAGAGACACTCTGAGATCAACCTTCCTGACTTCTAACTTCATCCCTCATCATGAGTCTATTTAAGATAAGTGCAGCGAAATCTGTTGTACGTTTTGGCTTGATTTGGACCACTCAACTATCATTCTTATGCAGCCCTCACAGGCAGCAGGCTGCCATGTGTTACGCAGCCCGGTGCCAGTACTGAACAGCCCGATCAGTTGCCAAACCTGTAGATTAACTACCCCAGCAGAAACACTGGACAATTTTTCCTCTTACCAGATGACCTCCAGACACTAGAGAGCTGTGAAAACTGCGAAAGAGGCCCCAATCCTGGTTAGACTGCGTCTGGGCCATGGCAGACAGTAACACACCATGGTAATCCCTTTGGTTGGCCGACTCAACCCTGCCTCAGGGAAGGAGGGGCTACTCCCTGAGTGCTGCCGAGGAAATCTGTAAGCCAAGCAGACAGCACACAAACTTTCTAAGAAGACAAGAACAAATATTGGCTTGTGCCGTTTGAAAACAGAGCAGATGTCCAATTTTGCTTGACAGAAAATTACTTTTATAATCGATCATCTATCTGGGACAGTTGATGACCCCAGTGAGTAAAGGCTGTAACCAGCCAGTGGCAGAGTCACACTGACTTGAGATGCAAGACGCGACCTAAACAGGAAGTTCCTATTCAGAGGCCCCCTGCTGCTTTGCTGTCCAGCTTCCACAGTCAATCCAAGGCTCAATATCGCTGTTCTGTTCTTTGTTTATCCCAAACTAGAGAGGAACAGAGGACACAGCCTGTGGAGTCTTAAAGCTCTGTTAAAGGGGAAAACACTATTTTTTTGTTGCTTCTGGTATCTTTGTTAGCTTAGACACTGGCTCTTGAACCCTGATTACCCCTTAACTTTCTCCTTTATGTGGACGCAATTATATAGACATGATTTTATGGCTGCACTGTAACATGCATCATTTCATACACATTGTCTTAAAATTCAGGCTGACATATTTGTTGTCTTTGTAAACTTTGGGAATTTGAATCCGCACTTTTGAAGAATGCTTTGCCACACATTTTGAGTGAATTTCTTTCCTCATAAAACCTTTGCAAAGGTGATTTTCTTTAATTGTGAATTCTTCATACATCCGTGTTTGCTTGCTTTCAGTCTTCTTCAGGGCCTTTGTTCATGCCCTGCCAGATTTCTGATTGTGTTACGATCACCAAATGTTAATCAGTAGAACAGCGTGAAACCAACAGTGAGATGTGAATCACACATTCAAACAAAATTGGGATCCATTCGTAAAAAGTGTTAAAGGCTGCATACCTATATTGTCTTTGCTTTCTGAACAATGATGCATGATGATGTAATGATGCATATTCAACTGTGGTGCAGCACTTGCAACACAAGTGACTGTTGTGTCTGACAGATGATAAAGAAGCTTTAAGCCTGGTCTTGATTTTCACTGTAAGATATTTGTGCAGTGTAGTGTTTTCCCCTAATATGAGAAATAAATGGTTCATCAGGGATCAAGAGTATAGATAGGAGGCCCAAGTGTGTTAGCTTGCCACCATACTCAGAGTCCTGTGGTCTGCGTCTCTTTCCATTATCAAGCTGTAGACAGGCAGAAAGACAACTTGGCTGCCTTTTATTTGTTTTTTTATTTTGGGAACAGCTGAAGCGCAGTGTGAGTTTTGGCTGTCCTTTACTGCAGGATTACAGCCTCCTTAACCTTTTAGCTGCATTCTCCATCATTCTCTCTTATGTGTCCCTCCCAAGCTGTTCCTTAACCTCTACACTGGGAGACAGATTGAGAGAGATGGACATAGACAGAGAGAGAGAGAGAGAGAGAGAGAGAGAGAGAGAGAGAGAGAGAGAGAGAGACAGGAAGAGCAGAAAGACAGGAGGAGACACAGATCCAGGCACTCTGAAAGAGAAAAATGGCCACCTGAGGATTAGAGACTGAATATAACTGCTCTAAATTGTCAAGGCTGCAACATTTCACATTTCACTAAGTCCCTTTCCACATTCTGACCTTTCTGATATTTAACTCCAAGGCCCATCTATTGTCACCAAACCTTTTTCCAGCAAAGGAACGGCAGTTAACATTTAGCCCTTCCACGATGTATTGAGTGTATTCTGGTTTCAGTCAAGAAGTCTCTAGAGTCTGAATGCACTCTCTATATCTGTATGTGTGTGTGTGTGTCTGTGCATGTGTGCACACGCTCAAGTTTATTCATATAAAACGCTACAGCCAACTATTAGTGTCTTTTGTTTGCAATTTCATCCTGCTGAAATGTAAAATTTCAGTACCCTTTATGTAACAAGTAAGCCTATCAAATGCAGTTTCTTTGAACCTGATTTGATAAATGCGACAGGTTTCTATTTTGCTTGTCAAGGAACATGAATAATAGCTGTTATTCTAGATGCCGCCTGTTTTGAGGTGATGCAAATGTCGGCTCCTGGAGGCCGGCTATGCAAAGAAACTTGTCAACTCATTTAAGTTTTATTTTAATTTCACTGCGGCATCACTTATAAAAGATTCAAGGTCAAATATAGGCTCACTTGCTGAGTCACTGCAGATGTCACATGTTTGCAGTTCCTATTATAGATCCAGTATTTGACACACACAGGCTCACAGACAACACGATTCAAAGTGACAGAGCTTCCCTGTCGACACCTGCCATCCAATCTATGCCTGTCTAAAGCACTATCACTCAATAAGCTCACTGTTTTACTATGTCAGCGGCACAGTGAACGCTAGAATAACCGTAATCACTAACAAGCCATAAAGAAGGCTGTTGAAGCAGGTGAAACCCTTTTGTTTGGGTGCTTGCTTTTATTCTGCTAAAATATTTTTGGTAGGTTCCCTGAAGACTACACAAGAGACTGCATCTGATCTCCTGATCTGATCTTAATGGCAGACACTTCCTACACAAGGAAGATGCCTCTGACTGAGAACTGATGCTGCTATGAAATTTGTTCAGCTTTTATGTGCTATAGCCAGACTGCAACCTTTTCTCTCCTCTTCTTTTCTTTCCTAACCCCGATTCATTTCAGTCATTGAGTACTTTCTGCATGCGAGAGGTAGACCATAAAGTGTTTTTCTATTTTCTATTCTTCTAACTGCCAAACTCTAAGACTAAGGCCATTTAGTTATTACTTTGTGAGAACAACACAGCCCCCTTATTCACTTCAATGAGATCACTGTGTTGGCATAGCAGGTGTGCTGAGGTGCAGGGCTTCAGAAATATATGCTGGGTTGTCTGGTGAAAAAGTGTAATCTGGCTAGACTTTTGCAGCAACGTAATATAACATTCAGGAAATGAGACATTTTCCAGGTAGATTACTTTGTAATGTGAATGCCATATGTCTGTTGTTTCTACTGGTACTGAAACTAGCCTCTCTGGATTGTATTCTATGGTCTCACCAATACCTGAAACAACACGCCCGCATCAATGCAGCCCCTTGAGTTCTATTAAGCGGGGTTGTTTTCGAATTGAAGTATTGAAGTGGACAACTCATCAGTTCAACCACCAATATCCACATGATGGACATCCACTATTTTGTGGCTTCACTGCATTTAAGTCAAGAGAACATGTGCAAACAAAGTTTATACTGTATGTTGTTAATGGATTATACATTTTGATTATATTAGCCAATGACTTTGCAATACAGCCTACCACACCTGGCAAGCCATTAATCTTATACAGTTTAAAAGCCTGTTCTTGATTCTGCACAACCTCCCATAACAATTTCCAACACTTGCTGTTACTGCCAAACAGGATGACACAAAAGTTATGCATATGAACTTTAAGTGGTTGTAGCCATGTGATTATGTTTGCCTGTCTAAAGATAGCAGATCATATAACAGCCCATACAGACTGTATTATTCATCACACTCCCCATTATACTGTACAAATCTGTGGAACTGTGGAATCAAGTAATTCAAAAGGCTTCTCCGCTCTGAGAGCTTGAATGTACTCAGTAAATGTCATGACACTTAGGCTGTTACATTATGCAATACATTGCATCTATCAATTAACAATGGATGAAGTTTTCAGACACGGTGGCGCGTTCATTCAAACAAGAACTGGCCAAAAGAGGTTTATGTTGTTTCTGACTTCCATGTCCATACTTTATGCGTCCTATAGCGTCTTTCTCTAACTCCACCTAACTGACTGGCTTGCCCACAGGACTGACAGAAATAATAGTTCTCTTGTGACTTTCAAGCAAATATTATAGTAAATGCAGACGTTTACATTGTGATCATTCAAAGAGTATCTGCGTCTGAGTGCATCATGTGACTTGCAATTCTGAATTTGGCCACTACACCAAAATTATTTCTGTTTATAGTCGCAAGACATCTTCTGGGAATCATGAATGGTTCAGTAAATAGCATGACAATCAGTCCATTAGATTTTGATATTAATTCATATTTATACTGGCCTAGTGATTGCAATAGAGGAAAAGTCCAAGGTCATCAAAAACATTCAGATTTACTGTGTCAAGCAGTGCTCTGAAGGAAAATCTGTACTGACAGTGGTGCTAGATGAAAGGTCAGGGTATCACCAAAACTGCAAAATTCTACAAAAATATTTATTCTAAGATGTTGTCAGTCAATAATGGACTATTGAATGCATGGACTGATGGATTGATCAACTGACTAACCACCATTGACATCTGTAGTCCAAACAAACAAAAAATTATCATACATAGATGTCAAACTCTAACTAGTTTGAAATACCAGCGTGTTAGTGATAGGTCAAGATAGGGCATGTACACTACATTTATACATTGTGTGCAGGTGCCCTGGGGGGCTACATATTCGTACTAACATGTAGCACAAAGACAACAGCATATTACCTACTGTTTAGGGCAAAGAAGCAAGCTGAAGTATCTGCACACATCACTGAGTATACATGATACATGCAATCATGTGATTTATTCAAATCTCACCACCTCTAGGGAATTTACAGTCCTGCACATGCTTTTGCTTGTAGTGTAAACCTTGTTCTTTCAGCAGTTTACTGCATCCTGATTTTTATATTCTTTAGCTTGTAGTAACCGCATTTTCTGTTAATATCATTTTATTTGCCTCTTTATGGTCTCTTAAACTCAACAGCCAAGTTAGAAATTGATGTTAGGTGCCTATTCCAGAGATAACAGAAAGTCACTTGGTTCTTGTTTAAACACACTAAAGCCCTGCTGAATAAGTCACTTACAAAATGCAATTGAAACCAATCAGAATTACATGTTGTAGCTGTTTGCATTTTTACAGTTCTTTGAGCTAATAGTGTGTTACTCAAAATTCTGGGACTGGATTGAGAGTGTTTTCCTGTTAAATCTAAGAGGATTTTTCTGAAACTGCCAGTGGTGTATGACTCTACTTCAAATATGCTCTGATAACAGTGGAGATTTGTTTAAATTACCTTCTGCAATTTGTGTTTTGATTTTTTAAATTTGTGTTTTTTGTCTTTTTGAAATTTGTATACTATTAAATATGTTTTATTTTTCTCTTATTGTATGCGCTGTGAGTATTAACAAGAAAAGCCCTTGACAAATGATCTAATGTGAACTGTGTATTTGAATTAACTGTGTTATTCACATTTGGTCTAAAATACTGCTTTTATATTGAATTGCTTCTTTTTTCATCTGTATGTTGCCAAACATGCTATTTTGAATTTCCCTGTGCCTCTCTATGTCTCTCCCTGCTTCAATAACAGGGGCCCATGCAAAAAAACAGGGCGAGGATTTATCGGATAACGACGGTGATGAAGATGAAGGTATTTTTCATGGTGAACAAAGATGGTGCATGAGTTTTTTTCCTAAAAAATGTCACAATTTTCTGATCATTTATATTGTTGTTTTTTTTTGTTTCTAATTGCAAATGCAATCATCAAGCACCCCTGTCACATTGCAGTCTGTGGAACATTGTTGTGTTTGATCAAATGTGAGTGTGTGTCTGTGCGAGTGAAAGTGCGATCTCCTGTTCCTAAGCATCTGAATTCTGTCAATGAGTAAAGTGTTTTGCTTTAGAGTCAGATGGGATCTAGTAGCTGTCTAGATAACCAAGGCTGGGTTGAGTTATTTTAATATCTTACATAGTGATTGAAGAAACATATTACAAGGGCAGAGGCAGTGGTGAGAGCCCCTTCTTAAGGTGTGGCGATAATGGCAGAGGGAAAGTGAAGCAGCAGTGTAATATCAGACTGTTCACCAGGTCTGCCAGCAGATTTAGATGAGGAGAGGCAGTTCAGGAGTGCTGCTGGAGAGGATTAGAGGCGAGAGGTGTAGAAAATGGGAAGTTGCTGCTCAGCAATCGCATTGTTCACTTTCCATATTTATCTTGGGATATTCCTGGCTCAGGGTGGATCTCTGCCGAGATTAGAATGAGAGACGATTCTTGTGCTGCAACAGAAACGGCTTAAGTCTCTGAATCTAAATCAAACCTTTGGTATTGCCCCGCCCTTGTCTTTTTTTTGCCACAGTAAGGCAGGTGATGCAAGCATGATGTTGGGTATCGAGATTAAGCCCTTGATTTTTGCCCCATTTGTTTGTTATGGACAGATTGGATTTTTGCACATCATGTGTACATTTGGTGAAAAATCTGTATGTCTAGAGCGAAGCTGTTTAGGACCTTAGCACATGTTTAGGGCATATGGACCTGCTATTTGGCAGGAAAACTGAGATGACACACCAAGTTGCCATATCCTTCCACTTATTTGTCTTGAATGTTTGCACAATGAATGCTTTGCTGTGGGACCTGTGTTTGGGTTTTTAACCCAGCTGAGGCTGGCAGACCAGGGTTCTTTCCAGATGTTTAAGGGTTTGTAGTTAAGCTCCTTCCTCTTTGCCAGTGGGCACTTCTTTCAGAAAGGAGCCTCACGCTGGCCTTAATCACAGAACAGGAAGCGTTGCCATGGCACCACTTTGACACACAGGTGTTTCTCATTCAAGCCCAGGGCGAGCTGTTGCAACCGGAGCCAAATTGCCTTCAGTTTTCAGCTTGACTGTGTGTATACGTGTGCGCATGTGTATGTTTGTCTTCCCTCAAGCAAGCCCACATGCGTCAGTGTATGTAGCCCTAAGTCCGTTAAAAATTGCTGACAAGTGCCGATCCCTTTGTCTGGCAAGTCTCTGCATGCATACACAGTGGCTTGGTCTCCAAGCTGTTGTGCAAGACTAGCCTCACTGAAAATGTGACAAGTCTATTCTTTACTGAGCGCAACTAATGCTATTTACAGAGCATCACCGTAGAAGCACAGTACGGTCCCAGCAGTATCTCTGCCACTGCGCTGTAACTAATGCATGTGTGACAGAGCTGGCCATCAATCCCTAAACATGATCCGGAAGATTTTCATTGTTCTTGTGAATGTGTCTGTTTTAAGGTGTCAAGGTCCGATATATGAAACCACTGTTCAGAGACACCCCTCTATTTCTCTGTAATTCCTCCCAAAGAGAACTGTTACCTCTGTGATAAAAAGGCTTCAATGAAGGATGGCCGAGTACACTGCACAAACCACAAAGTCCTTGTAAGCTGTCTTACATACTACTGCTCTCACAAGTGGCTGTACTATTATTGTGGGTAATAGCAATCCCCTTGTCTACAGTGAATGTATTGCATGCATTACCAATGAAAATCAAACATTTGTATTCAAGTTAAAGGGCAAGTAGAATCAGAACACAAGCCGAACTCCCACTCTCTCACTCTTTAGCTGATGCACCTCTTATCCACATATTCTCATTCAGTCCAGAGAGCTGCTGTGTTTTCTGGTGTCTCTGTCTAACCCCCTCCATCTCTCAGTCTGTTCATCCCAACATTACCATGCTGTCTCAGTTGGCAGTCTGTCTATCGTGGGCTAATTCCCTCCTCCCTCCACCATATTTGAGCCGCCCTCCTGCTTGTTATAACCCTCCAGACACGCTCTTAAATTCTAATTCAAATAAGTTTTATTAGAACAATATAAGAAGAATAAAGGATTTCTCACATTGCCAAAGAAATGTAAGTAACACATGTAATGGAATAGTAATATATACATTTACAATAAAAAGGAAGTGGAACAGCCAATAAAAACAGTCAACTGAGACGAGGAGATAAGCAAAATTAAATATGTAGCAAGGAATATAATGCAGTTTTTTATATTGTATATCTCTTTCTGTCCACTGGCTGTCTCCCTCTTAGCCCTTCTGTCTGTTTGTCTCTTCCTGTGTCTTTCTATCTGTCCCTTTGTGTGTTTGGCTGGCTGTCTGAGCAACAGTCAACCCCCTGGCATACCCCAAAGTGCATTCAAATTCTATGCAACACTCCCTCCAGCAACATGAGTGTGCAGGCCAAGTTGCTGTGATTTACATCGGTCCACAATCAAGACTCAATTTTACAGAGGCTGTTATTGCACTGTAAAAGGAAGCTTTCAATCACCTACCTGCTGTTGTTAGATAAAGGTGGGCATGTAAATAGAGGAAGTGTGGCTGTGTAGGAGCTAAATCTCCTAGGTGGAACATGGCAGTGGTGCCAAGGTACTGTGCCCAGTGTTAGGCAGAGAGAGGCAGCCGTCCCCACTCCACCTCTAGAGTGTCTCGCGCCACTGCTGCCTCGGCCCTCTCCCACTGATGAAAAATAGATGTGTGTGTGTGTGTGTGTGTGTGTGTGTGTGTGTGTGTGTGTGTGTGATTTGGCACTTTGAGACTCTAGCTCCAATCAGGAGGAATGCCTCCCAGCGTGAGAGTGCACACACTCAAACATGTACACCCACATCCATTAAATCAGTGAAGCATGCACACACGCACGCACTTGTACACACACACAATTGCTTGCTTCCAAGATCTAGAAGCAAGCACCGAAGAAGACAACACACATACCCCCAACCCCAGAGATGCTCTCTATCGTTGCTGTGCCAGTGAGCAGAGCTGAGCTCCACCTGCCTGGGTATTACCATTAATTCCATTGCACAGGCCTGACTGGATCCCCATCCAGCAAAGCCCTCAGCTCAGCTCAGGCAGGCTGGAGACTGGTGAATCGACAGTGGGGCAATTCACACACCATTCTCTCCATTCTGCCACTATCCTATTCTCTCTGATGAGGCAGGGATGAGGAATCATGCCCCTTGAAGCCCATTTATGCAGAGATATTTGGAATGCAGCTGCTCATGCTTCTTTCCAAGATAAGCATTGCTGCTAATGGCTGACCCACAAGGGCATCATTTGAGCCATTTCAAAGGATGGGGAGGACAGACTGTTAGTGTCATCTATTTTTTTTCTCTTTGTCCTTTACTCTTCAGTGGCACAAAATAATTGGCAAGGCAAAAACATGTTAAAACACTTTAAAAATCTAGAGAATAGAACAAGAATAGAGACAGGCTTTGAATTAGTTCACTGAGGCACTTTGCATATGCCTTATTTCTGTTTGTGCTGTGTACACGTCTGCAATGTGTGTATTGAAATGCTGTCGTCAGCCCTTCAGTGGATTTGTACAGTATAACGTCAGATTTTGGGGCTCGCACCAAGAACAACAGGCTTCCCCAAAAGACTAAAGGGTTAGTCTCCGTTCACTCGAGGAGCAAACCGCTGTCTGTGAGTCTTAGGGATGACAGCACCTCTACAGTTTACGCCTCTCATCTCGATCCAGGCCAGCTGTAGGGGGCTTTGGCTAATAGCCTTGTAGACTTCTCGCTGTGTCTTCCCTTTTATTTTACTCAGCCAGCGTCTATCCCCGTCTCTCTTTATTCTCTATCCTCAAACACACTGCTCTCTGTCTGCCCTGTTGCCAACATCACATTTAACACACAAACACACCAGCCAGGGAGCAAGAAGTCACCTTCACACAAAGGTCATTCTTCTCATTACATTTACTGTAGCGATGTCAAGATTCATATTCAGAGGCACACACTCTCACGTACATCTTCTTTTCATATACCCAATGCCATGTTCAGATTTACTTTATATACATAAGTCATATCTTAGTTGCTCTCAGAAATGTCAAGTACTGTGGAGAACACAATGGAGTCACACACTCCAACTATAAGGTACTCTTTTCCTGCCCATCCCATCACTCCTCAAGATGCGCAGGCTCTGAAGGTCCACTTGCTTAAAATAGCAACAGCTATGCAACAGCTTTTTTTCATGGTCCTCCTTCCACTGTCTTCTGTGAGTCCAAAATAGACAATTTGTTACTGGGTTCCTTCATTTTTTCCCCCTCCAAGGCCTAGTCTCACACAGTGCTACTTCATTTGATTCAGTATAAAGGGAATATTAAGCGGACATTCAGTGACATTCAGAATACTGTCAGTGACTTGTACAGCGGCACAAGCTGCTGTATAATTCGGTGTAATTACACTGCCTGTTTTGCAAGGAGCTCCCCAGTTAAACTAAATGCCGTTCTTAAACGTGAACATGGCCTGTAATGGACTTGTCATGAGTGAAGCGTGAAGCTTGGCCTGACAAGAGCACTACAGTAGGGTGCATGTCATGTCCTGCCACATCAGGACATTGTCACCCGTTTCCCCCCACCTCAGACCTCACTGATAGCCGTTGACAGGCACCATGTTTCACCAAGTGTTGACACAGTGAATGCCACGACACTTATCTCCACTCGCCTTTGTCCTGTCCCACTCCGTAGTGTCAAGGCCGCTTCTGGGGGCGCTTAACGTCAGATATATGACTGACTGTTTTCAATGAAGTGGCAAAAGACAAAAAGGTGGAGGTACAGGGGATGGTTTTACTTGGAGCAGCAACACTTAGAGGCTCAGCTCAGGCCTGTGGTTTGCCTCCCACTGACACTCCAATCAGTCCAAGGCCACTGTGATGCACCTATGAAAGGTTGTGCTCCTCGGGTTCAGTCCCCAGATTTTTACTTTTTAGCTGAACTGAAGTGCAGTGAACTGAAGACCTTTGATTTATTTATTCATTCTTTGGCAATATTTAATTTGTATTCTTTACTGTGATACAATTATTTGCTGTTTGTATAATGTGCAGGGAGTATATGCCACTGTATAATAAATGCTGCATGATCCCACTTGTGTGATTGAGAGAAATGTGAGAAAATATTGTGTTATATAAATTATTTTCTCTTCAGCTCACTCTTCATTGCACATCGGCTTCCATCTACATTTCTCTCACGCACATTTTTTTGTTCATCTCCAAAACATACATTTTATTTCTCTTTCTTTTTTTTATATTCAACTCATTGTGCATGGATTTTTATTGAAAATATACCAGTCTGTGCATTAATGAAACTTTCTCTGTTTCCTTTCTAGCACAGAGCTACTGTGCTGCAGTTTTGATGCTATGATTATGTGTGTGTTGATGCAGTGATGTGTTTGCCTTGGAGAAGTAGTGAATCAGGAAGCAGCTTTTTCAAGGTAGCCACTTAGTCACCTGTTTCGCCAGATTAGACCGTCCACAGCAGCCGAAAAAACTCTGATCTGATTGGTTAAGAAGAGCTACTCCCCTCATTACCTCCACATCATGCCGTGCTGCGGCCCAGATGTGGATGTATCTAGACAGGATTATTATTTCTCGCTGTGAACCAAAAGTCCAAGTGGGATCTGTTGCATGTATATTTTCCTCTGACACAAATCGCTGTGTCAGTGAGAACTGTATATCACATCTGTGTGACACCTCCCACATCAGATCAAGTCAATAAATAGATTAGAACAAGTGGAGCGTCAATGTCTTCTATCGCTCTCTCAAAGGGATTTAACTGTTGTCATGGAGACCCGATGTGAATCAACAAAAGAGGTGACTGATAACATTGACATGACTAATCTCTTTTTTCTTATTTCTGCCCCCTGTTCCTTCTTCGTCTTTGCCATTCTCTTTGTATCTGTGGCCCATTTGTTTGAGTAGCTTGTGTAGGATATCGTTTTGCTGTTTTTCTCCCTCTCTCCCCCTCTTTTTCCCTCTCTGACTGTATCTTTCATGCTTTCTCACCCCATGCATCCCCTCCTCCTCTTGTCTAAGATAAGTGTGTGCATAGAGAAGTGTCAGCTATAAATCACATTTCACTGTGTAGCCTTCTCAGATACCAGCAAGATAAAGAAAGCCATAAATAAGGCCACATCATATACAAGTTATTGCTTTGCTTTTAAACCTAACAGGGCCATGAATAACCAAGGGAATGAAAGAAAAAACCTGTGAATCAAGGCTTCGCTCTGCTATAGGGGTTGCAGAAAAATCGTGTCCCTACAAAATGCATTTAAGTAGTTGTCCTTGGTGTTGAGCATGCTAATGTGATGGGGTGCATAACGACGAGCAGTGCCTGCAGATGGATGCAGATTGGGCTGTGCAGGATGTGGTCTGCGATTAGCTGTTCTTGAGGATTTTGAATTTTGGCTCTCAGTCACCATAGCAACCAGAATACAATACCACCCTTTTAAATCTGAACCCATTGCTTTCTTTCTTTCTTTTTTCTTTCTTTTTTTTATGTTTTTATTCTTGTCTTTCCTTTCTTATTTTCTCCCTTTCTTTCTGTCTTTCTATCTTCCTTCCTTCCGGTCTGTCTTTGTGTTTCTCTCTTTCTCTCTCGCTCGCTCTCTCTCTCTGTCTTCCTCACTCTTTGCCCTCCCACCTCCTCTCATTCTCACCACTCTCAGGGCTTCGGGGGGGGGGGAGAGAAGCAGGGAGTTGGACAGAGATTGAGGGAAGGCGGGAGAGAAACAGGGAGAGACAGGGGAGGGTCTGTGAGTGAAAGCGATACAAAGTGAGGGAGGGGAAGGCGAGAAGCTACACAGAACGCGGGGGGAGCAGGAGTGAAAATGAGAGAGAGTTTCTTGTCTTGTCTCCCAGCTCTAGCTAGCCAGCCAGTAATTCAGTCTATTCCTCAGACAGAGGCTTTTTTCTTCCCTCTACCTCTGGATGTGCTTTATCTGGCTGGAGTGTCGCTCCAGCTGGGTATCAAGCCCCGATTCGGGAATAGAATAAACAACATTTTACCAAAACTGAAGCACAAATTTAACTGCCTGCAATGCCAAGCAAGACCGTGCAAATAAATTGTTGCACAGAGATAGGCCTGGGTAAAAAGGAGCTGCATGGTAGCATTGTGTAATTAGCCGATGCGTTTTCCCTATCGCTGTCAAGCCAGATTAGCCTTCTCCCTGGTTAGGAGATGTGTCAGAGTACCTCTCTCTTTATTCTCCCTAATGGCTTCCTGCATGTCTATATTGGGAAGTGGGTCTGCCTCCTGGAAGGCAACGCAAAACCAAATACAACCCTAATAGTTTGGTTTATATGATAAATATTTTCTTTGGTAAATGACAAGGCGCATTTTCAGCTGAGATGGCCAATTACTGTAATAGAGTTGAACTCAGCATAATGAGTGGACATTAATTTGTTTCTCATAGAGCAGATATGATAGAATATTGCCTCCATTTCCATTAGTAGGCCAGCAGACTGTATCCTTACAGCTGGTATCTGAGAGGTGACCGTCAGCTTGTCTGTTTGTGGCCACCATGTGCTATATCTGTTGTATCTGAATCTGAGCTGACCCCTTGATTGGAGTGGGTGGACCACAATGTGAATGTGTTAATGATGGCCACTCTTGCAGACATACGAGATACTGGGGCCAAGCCTGTGATGGTCTACATCCACGGAGGATCCTACATGGAGGGGACGGGCAACATGATCGATGGGAGCGTCCTGGCCAGCTACGGAAATGTCATCGTTATCACTCTCAACTACCGTGTCGGAGTCCTCGGTAAGCATCTTTTCCCTTTTTTTTTTTTTAACTTCACCTCCTTCTTCAAGGACATTTTTCTGGGCCATCTTTGTAGGGCAGCTAGGTGTAATGAGCACCGCTGATTGCCACATACACTCCAAATATGGCCGAGGGAAAAAGCACAGCACTGTAAATACACAGACCGGTTCCCGTGCTTCTTGTTGATGTGGTGCTCGTGTATCAAAATCACAGTAATTGAGTGTGCTGAATGTGGGTTTGTTGTTGTGACTGGGGTTTAGAATAAATTAAGAAATTATTGTAATGAGGTTGAAAAAAAATGATGAGATGGGCGTGATGCCGGAGAGATAGAGGAGAAGAGAAGAGTCTGTCGGAGAGAGCGAGGGGTTCTCTCTCTGAGTTGTGGATGGTTGTAGATTGACTCACACAGCTGAATCCTCTTTCAGACACTTGTGTGTGTGTGTGTGTGTGTGAGAGAGAGAGAGAGGGAGAGAGGCAATGGAGAGGCAGAGAAAGAGAGAGAGAGCAAAAGAGAGGGAGAGAGAGCTCCATGGAAACAGCTGCAGCAACACAAAATGGAGTTTGTTAGCACACTACCCAAGCTTTGTACCTTTTCCATCCATCTCTCTGACACAGCGGATTTGCCTCCTCTCACATTTTTTACATTTAGAGTGGTTCTATACTGGCTACAAACGCTTTGAATATAAAATAATTTATTTTTGCATTTGTTGAAAGTATTCCCTAAGATTTGGACTATTGTTGGCTCCTGTTCCTGCATAAAGAATAAGGCCACTATGGTACATCCTTTGGTCAACAAAGCCAAAACCAACCGTTCATAAATGTGTCCCTCAAAGTCTGTATGTGACTCACACACAGCAACAAGCCTGTTGGTTCTTACTAAAAAAGTTAAATCTTTAAAAAACAGTTATGTAGTTCAGTTTTTAAGTTCCAATACAGTCATTTTCTGAAACAGATGGACACTATAGTTCACACACAAAAAGAAGTTTCTATTGCTTTTGTTGGGGACAGACACACACAGATATAAGTGAATATTTGCTACCGCTAGTGGTAATTATGGAATAATGGTAAAAGCGAAAATGTAGTGCAACACCAGCAGAGAAGAGTCATAAAGTCAGCAAACTGACTCTGCAGGCTACTATCTGCAAAGCAATATCTATCTAAAGTTTTCTAACACCTGCTTGTATTAGCTATAAGCCACTTATTTGTAAAATAATGAATTTCTTCTTTCAAAAGTTACATAGTTTTGCTTCAGTACACATTTGTTGTGCTAGTGAATATTTACAGCAGCAGGACAGTGTATGCAGCATTGACTCAAGTAAACAATCTGATTCTCATAACTAGACGTGGCTTAATTTGAACAGGTTTTAAAAGGCAAAAAGGTTAGGGACCACTGAGCTGCATCAGACTTTGGCTCCTTGTTAGTCCCATATTTGCTTTGGTCTTTTTTGGCATTTGTTGACAACAACAACAAAAAAAAAGAATATCACCAACCTTATCCTTAAAGGAATGGTCTGCCTCACCTTGCTGCTCAGAGAACTCCACGTCAAAAGCAGGAGGGTGACTGAGAAGCACTGCTGCTTTATCCTCTAGGACACTGAGATGACTGGTGTGGTTGAATCACACAGGCACAACTACATTCATCCAGACTCTCTTTTTGATGGAGATGAGAGCGCTACGGCCTATCGATTTTGTCATCAGGATCACTCACCTTAAATGCGCTGTGTTTTGCTCTGTCATTTTTGTGGAGTATCATTTTGAGCGTTGTAATCAGCCTTCAGGGTGGTAAGGTAGTTGGAGTACTGGCTGAGCATGCTACCTCGTGCTCCTGCCTCTGGTTTAAAGCTGAGCACGTAAGCCTAATACAGATTCATGATCATATTTCTTTATGGCACTTCAATTATGAGTCAGATGTTTCTCCCCTCGCTGCCACATTTCGCTAAATGTCATTCTACATGCATGCACACACACCCTCCAACACCACATACGAATACGTGTGCACGCTGGCACAAGCACGCAGTGAGCACAAACACTAAGACACGAGCAAAAGCAATCTACACATACAGATGCAGTTTGCCAACACGCAAAAACACACACTCTCAAAAACACGCACAGACATACATACACATACAGTCCACAAAGCAGCTCTCTTGGTGAGCTCCCCAGCAGCCATTCTGAGAAATGAGCAAAGAAGAAGTGATGCATGTAGTTGAGCGATAATGTCCATTGCTGTAGCATGGTCTGATAATCTCCCCATGGTACGGCTTTAAACTGTTATTACAGACACACTCGTATAAACCAAATAAAAACCAAGGCCAGAGAGAAATCAGACCATGATGGGCCAATTAACACTAAGCTGTCTGAACATTTTCAGCCATAAAGTGTGATTTGCAATACTCAGAACATGAGAAATCATAATTACATGTCTTTATTTTATTTCTGTTTGCAGTGGGTTCTTTTTTATTGAAAACGAGTGTTGCTACCAGTTTGTTCATTAATCTAGTCTAGACAGTTTTAAGTGGAGTAGACTAACTGTTTGTACTGGACACTGTACATTAGCCACAGCACACACAGTTGAAAGCTATACACTTGCAGTGTAATATTGTGGCATCTGACAGCTGGATGAGAGCAAATACTCCAATTTTTACTTCTTCTATGGCTTCAACTCAAGTACTGTGCAGCAGGACTCCCTTCATTTGAATAATAAAAAAAAAGACTTCAGTAATTTTGATTCTACGCAGGGTGAAGCAGTTTCTTGTTGAAATGCTGAATAAATAAATAAATAAATGAATATTAATGAAAAAATGAAAGCTCTTTTAATTAGGCTGCTTAAAGGGATGAGGGAATAATGGAGGCAGAGAGAATTAGACAAGATAATGAGTTTAAAGTGAAAGCAGACAAGGCAACTCAAACTGCGCATTCTGACACTAATATAGCTCTCCCACCATCCCTGTGCAATCTGAATATGGCATTAATAATGCAGTAAACACCTTTGAAATACACACAACAATCTGAATATTTAACTCCTTTCACAGAAATAATAGGGCTAAACTATTAGGCAACAACAGCGCTCACTAACAGATCTGTACTGAAAGCATTTTTAATGTGGAGAACACATTAAACATTTTCACCAGCAAATTTCAACAAATTGAACAGCACCGAACCTTAGTAAATGTCAGCAATTAATGTTTTATTTACCTACTGTATTAATTAAATTTGTGTTAAATCATTTTTGTGGTAATATTATTTCCAGCTTTACAGGGTTTTTCAAGATTTTACTTAAAAGGAGTGAAATTATTGTGCATATATAGTGCTGAGTGTGTTTGTGCAATATAGATGTAGCAGTTGTTTGGTGTTTTCCGAAGCACAGGCCACAGTAGATTTGGCTCTATATTTCAGTATGTTTTTATAATACGTGCATGGCCGCTGCAGATTCTACAGTAACTACAACACAAGTTGAAAATACACTTGCAGAGAGAAATAGAAATAGACAGAGGATAAAAAGAGAAAGTAGAAATACTATAAAAAGAGGTAACATGGAGAAGAGTTGTACAAATCCTATTCGGAGACTCTGATGTGTCGAGTCGCTGCCACTCCCGTTCCAATTAAAGAGGAGTCCACTAAGTTTCTAGTGCTGTTCTATCATCCCCCTGCAGCTCTTAGCCCTACGCAGCTGTAATGGTAATTATTGCTTCAAAGGATGGACCACAATTCTCCTGAGGCCCCATTTGGAAACTTTCATATCTCAACCTTTCACTATTTAGATGAATGAGAATTCATATCAGATTTAATCTTTAATTACTTATTGACCCACCGCAGTATGAGTATCACCAGATGAGATATGGAGAATAGAGTTTTACACAGTCCAGACTGTCCTGTTAGGACTCGTCACACTCTGCTCTGGTCAGGGACCTGAAGAGCAAGAGTTTGTTTACCAAAGAGAAACAGTGTTTGGATTTCTGCTCATTGATCCGTGTGTGTGTTAGAAAGAGACATTGTGTGTGTCTCAAAGTGTGTGACACGTGCATGTGGAGGGGTGGATGTGTGTGGTCCGTGCACGTGGTGCGCGTGCTTAGTTGCCGCGCCTCTCTAATGATGTGTAATGAGTCCCAGTCAGAGGGGAGTATCTTGTATCACTGCTCTTTACAAATATAATTACTCACTGGCTCTCCAGAGCATGTCAATTTCCCAGTCCATTGGGGGGGGGGGACTTAATTACTAGTTTCCAAATGCATTAAAAATTAACAAAGGCTGCATCTCTTGCCAAAACCCAAGGTGAGACTCTAAAAAGCTGCTCTAAAAAGGAGAATGGTCAAGTACAGTCTGTACTTGAGAAGTTTTCACCTCTGACAGGGTTTATTTGTGACCTTTGATGTCTATCTCCCATATCTCTTTGATCACAGCCATTTTATGGTGGGACCGTCGCCGCTATGGACTGTCACCTTAGTCTACCCAAGTTATTCAGGCCTTCAAAAGATTTCAGATCCAATCAAAATAACCTCAACCTACTGTATGAGTGTGCGTGAAAGCGGCGCTCTCAGCACTGAAGCATCAGCGCAGGTGATTTAGCATTGATTTGTTCAATTGCCAGAGTTATTTTGTGCGTGGTAAGTGACTCTGCTTCTTTCTGTTATGTTCCTCTCCTAAACTAAAGATGGTGACTGTTGGTAATTCAACCAAGGATTTGGGGAGCGGGGGATCTTTGTGGCTGTGTGTGAACAATATTGTAGAGCAACAGACAGTCCATCACACAAGTTTGTATAGTTGTTTTTCATACAGAAGTACTGCCGAGCTCCACTGAGAGCTGGACAGCACCCAGTGGGCTTGTGACTTTCTGACTCAGACACTGTACTCTGCTGGATGTTAGTTAAGTAGTAATGCAGGTCATCTAGGATGTCATCTGAAAACTTCCTTTCTGCGGTCTAAAACATCTGCTCTTGTCATTTCAAGTGCCTTATATCCTGATAAAGTCTAGATGCAATTGAATATACTTCCATTTACAC